CTTACTTCTGTGGATCATTTATACTGAAGAATGCTCCCCTGAATTACAAAAAAGTACAATTACCACACTATTAGAGCTTTGTTTTTATTAAAACTAAACAAAAGTGGACTGTTATGTTACAGACACTGGAAGCCTTGGAGTGCCTGTCTTTTTCTTTATGACTTGCCTGGAGTCTGCTGCTTCTAGTTTTGAAAGATTTTAAGGACCAAGTTTCAATTTGAAGTGATTTTGATGTTTGCTATCCATAAGAACTAAAATTTCCCTTCCTTTAGCTGCATGGTTTTTGAGGTTCAATGGAATCTGGGTGAAAATGTGAGAGACAGTACATTTTTGTGTTGAGAGATGGGGTTTCAGGGAGGAATCCTGGAAAGCTGAATTCAATGAACGTACCTCTTGAACAGGTTTCTAGTATTATTTCCTGTATTTGCTTCTTTCTATCCTATTCCCCCCAAATTAATACAACACAATTTAAGCAAAATGATGCACTGTTGAGTACCAACTTGTAGGGTTTTCCAAATCAGCTCATTCCAGTGTTTTGTGAAGCACTCTAAGTATCTGTAAAGGAATGATTAGTAACTGCACACAAAGCAGCTGCTGTCTAACGCAGTCTTAATTATCTCTGGATCTAAAAGTTGCACCGTAGGCACCTGACACCAACATGTGATAGCTTGTTACTTATCTGTGGACATTTAGTTTGGCTTAGTAATTTGACTGAAGATTTTGGACTTATTGTCAGTTAATATTCTAATGCCAGAGACAGATTTTTGACACTAAGTAGAGATGCCTAATGTAATTTCCTTTTAGATACAAGGGGAAAATGTAAGTCTGAATTGCAGATTCTGTATAGAAATATGATGTTTTAGCATTGTAAGCTTCATGTGGAATTGAAAAGTAAGATGAAAACCTGTCACCTAGGGAGGACCTTGGTGAATACACAAAAATAAGTAGAGAGCATTGGTCTAAAGTGAACTTAGACAATCTCTATAAATGGCAAATTCTCACATTTTTCTGAAAGGGCTAACCATTCCCTGTTTCCTGCCCTTTCTGCACAGCCCTGTGATTGTTTGGCATATGCTTTCTTCAAGATGCTATGGATCTCAGTATTCTCTGACCTATAACTCTGTACTTGTTTTCTTTGCACTTAAGGTACATTTTATTAAAAATTAACAGGCTCCTTACAGATTCTAAGACAGGCTTAAGAGGCCAGGAATGTTGTCCACCATGCTTGCTATCAAATAACTGAGGATTTGAGAATATGATAAGAAGAGTTGAAGAAAATGGTACTTCACTTCCAGAAAGTTTCCAGGCCACCTTCTGTTCCACTGTGTGTTGTCTCTGTCCTCTCACGGGTCATCACCAGCTCTGAATAATGTAAAATAGCTGTTTGATTAATTTTGAATTTGACCTTCAGACTTTAATCTGACATCATTTGCAGCACGTATTTCTGGTGTGCAAGTCTTCTGTTATACCCAGGGTGAGTGCAGAGAAAAAAGTTCTCATCTGTGTGACCTTTCTCACATTCCTCTGGAGTGAGTAGCTGGTCTTGCCACACTTCTATTTCATCCTCAACCAGAAGAGAATCAATAGCCAGTTGAGTTACTCAGACTCTCTCTGATAACAAATTCTGCATTTGTGATCTATGAAATATGACTGCAAGAGTTGAGAGGCACACAGTTAAGTCAGCAAATATGGGAAAGTGATTTTGTTATTGTTTGTGTTAATACAGCATTTCTCACATCAGCACACATCAGAAGACTTGAAGGACTTCGTAACAGTAAGATTGCTGGACCCTACACCCAGACCTGAGTTTAGCAGGCCTAGGGTGGGGTCTGGGACTCTGAATTTCTAACATCTTTCCAACTGAGGCTGTTGTTGCTGGGATTACACCAAGAACCACTTTTCCAGATGTGTTCTGCATAAACATGAGTGTTCATTGTTGGAATGTGAGAGGCTTGGGTCAGAGGTAAGTGGAATTTAATTTAAGAAATGATGAGCTGATGCAGTTGTTGGATGGGGTGTAGGATTGGCTCTAGGCTTAGTCTGCAGGAATGGCTGCTAAAGCAAGATATCAGTCACGGTCCCATGGGATAGCACTGGCTACTGCCCCAACACTGACATCAGATCGCACTGCCATTGCGCCTTCAGGTACTGCTGCGCACAGCTGCTTCTCCACAGCCACACATCTGTGACCCTGGGACTCACAGAAAATGTCAGCCTACCCCTGTCTTCCAAATATCACACAAGCACATTAATAATTCTAATGCAAAGGATACGCACATATACATATTTGATTCATCAAAGTAGGATTTAGGGAGCAGCAATTGGAAGAAGTTAAGAGATTCAGTAGAAACCTAGTTTCTGGAGAAGAGAAAGGCTGATGAGCACAGGCAAGCTCCATGGACTCAGCTACTTTTCAGTTCTCTCTGGGCATTGGCTTTCATTTAGACATGAAGAGGAGCCTCTGCATTAGGAAATTAGAGAAGAGCATTAATTGAACTAAATATGTTTATGCTCTTGAGAAATAAAAACTTTAAAGGAGTGTTCACCATAGCTTTTATCTGGCCATACATTTGCGTCATTTGGGCAGGATTCTCCAGCCTTACTACTGTTGACCTGTTCCATGTGTGTAAGTACTTGTATGGATGTTTTTCTGGTGCATTGTGGCATTCCTGGCTTCTACTCACTAGATGTTGCACATTTCTCTCCACATTGTAAAAATCAAAAATACCTCCAGTCATTGCCAAATGAACCTTAGGGGACAAAATCATTCATGGTCAAAAATTATTGATGTATCTAATCTGTGCCTGTAGGACTTTTTAAAAATTGTAACACTATTACAAGCTTTTAATTAAAATGTTGAACCATAAATTATGTCATGCCTATATGGTAGCATATTATGTGGTTTCAAAAGGAGTTATAATCATGTATCAAAGGAAACTTAGTATTTTGTTAAATTTTAAGGAGAAAAATTGCACAAGTCTAATTCTAGTTTTGTAAAGTGAAATCGGAGGTGTGCATTAGTATTCTAGTTCAAGGAAACTAGGTCAAAATCCTAAATGATTGTTTCGGAGTTGTGGGTTATCAGATACTTAAATTTCCTTAATTTTCTCTGCATATTTGATTTTATAAAACAAATATTTGTGTGTGTGTATATATCTATATCTATATCTATCTATCTATCTATCTATCTATCTATCTATCTATCTATATATCTGTATTATATGCACATGACATTTGAGCAATTTGTCTTCACTGAGAAGAGGGATAGACAGATCTAACATTTGTGAAGCATCTACTGTATTCCAAGTGTGGTGTCAGATACCTGCACTCCTCATTCTCTTGAAGGCAGTGTGTGATGGCACCTGAATGGACTGGAGAGAGCTGACAGACCTGGGTTTAGTTCTGGTCCCAGGATCTTTCTGGCCTCAGATGAATTAGTTACTTTGCAAGCTTATGTTTCTTCCCTTCTGCATTAGATCTAATCATTTAGGGTGTCTGCAAGCATTAACAGCCTTTGTGGTCCATATCATTGGCAATCCTCATAGAGAGTTTCCCATGTGTGGGGAATGTCTACTATCTTTGTCACTTGGCTAGTTCTGTGTTGCATCAGTGACTGCTGTGTTACTTCCCCTACCTTCCTACATTATTTAGGAAAAAAACAACAGACCGGAAGAAAAGGATTGTGCCAGTAAGGGCAAAGGAGATCGCAAGTAATGCAAGAAGCCCAGGGCTTATAAGTAACTGGGTTCTCCTTTTTCCTTGACAAAGCTGCTGACAAACCCTTTAGCAATACAAAGGCTAATTACTTGCCAGAAGTAGAAGAAAATGTGTCATTTGGTTGTTCTGGAATTTCCCAGTGCAATAAATCACCGTCATGACACCTTGGCTTCACTGTATTTAATAAAGATTTCTAAAAATAAAAAATAATGTTTTGTTTGTACTGAAAGCTGCTGGTCATTTGGGTCTATTTCATTTGTGACTTTTAATTGGATGGGACCCAGTTATACTTGAGTGCTCATTTCTCTGTCCACACCACCTTTCTACTTCCCCAGGGGTCCTAGTATCTGCCCCCTTCCTTCAGCCCCTATTCTCTTTGCTCTGTTCATCCCTTCTGGCGCCCAGAGAAAACTCAGCTTTCTGTGACAGTTCATTTGGCCACTTGGATTTGTTGGCCTGACTGTGGGTGGCAAGTGCTCCTGTCCCCAACTACTTGAATCAAGTCTACACTGCTGTGTTTCCAACTGAGCCTCTTTACCGTGAAAGCCTTCCTGTCCTTTGAATTCAAGAGCCACTTGAGTGCAGAATGGTGAACACAAAACTCGGTGAAACATTTTTTCCTTTTTCTTTTAAATGGAAGCCAGAGGGTTCCTTGTTAAGGACATCTGTGCAAACGAATTTAACTTTGCGTCTCACTCTAGCTTATATTAAAAGATGTGACTCCTTTTTCAAAAATCTTTTATAATGATTTCAAATTATATATCTGAAATGAAGTCACTGACAGCTTTTGATAGAAGAGAGGTAAGAGACAATATAGGAATGCTTAATTGCTTCCATCCCTCCCTCCTTTCTTTTCTTTGACAATAGTGTATTTCATGAGGTAAAATGCAATGCTTTGATCTATGCACACATTGTTGAAAGATTCAATCATCTTAGTCCTTTTGACGCCCTAGAGATCTGAATCGGATGTGTCATTGCTTCCAAAGCTTACACTTTTTTTTTTTTTTGGTTTGTTTTGAAGTGCATTCATGAATCTCCTTTGGATTATACAAGTAGATAAATCCCCCTTCTCCCACCAGATGGGTTTTTCTTGTCTTCTCCACCTTTCTTTACTTCTCTTTCTCTCTCCTTTTTCTCTCTTCAATTCTCTTCTTTCTCATTTATCTATTTTTGACTTTTAAGGTTTTGTTTTGTTCTTTAAACCTTCTGGTCCCTCATAAGGTCCCCCTGCCTGCCCCTCTGAAGCTGGCTACAGTTCTGACCAGCGTTCCACCTTGAGCAGTCTACCTGGAACTCTGCGGTGTAGCACCTGGGATCTTTGGGGTAGGGCTCCCCCATCCCGGCTCAGATGGGCTTACTAACTTTTGCTTTTCCCCTCCACACATATGCAGCAATTTCTGGTCCCAACCGTTGATGACCTGTCCTGGGTCAAAGAAGAAAACAAAAGGCTGATTCTGTGCAAAGCTTCTGTTAAACCTGGTTGCATCTGCCAGCTTTCCTGTGCAGCGCCATGTGCAAGACGTCTGTCTTGCGCGGGACGTTGGACTGTGGTCCACCTGCTTCTTGGCCTCGATCTGCAGCTTCCGTTTGCCACTAGACCACGTGACCGTGGCCAGGGCACTCAGGCAGATGGGCAATGCTGTCAGGACCCAGCGTAGCCTCATGTCTCTGTGGGCAAAGACCCAGACCCACCTACCGGGAGGAGGGTGGACAAGGCATGGAACGTGAACAGGACCTTGGAACAGGCACAGCCACCACGGAGACTGCCCCTGCGTGGACATCCCTGGACATTACTTGCCCCCTCCTTTGTTGAGATATAATTGTCAAATAAAATTTTATGTATCTAAGTTGTACAACTGGATATTTTGCTATATGCTTACATTTTAAAATAAAGATTTCACATTGAAAAGTCAAAGCTAGTCAGTGTGCACCATCATCTCAATAGTTACCATTTTCTCTTTCTCCCTGTCTCCCTCTCTCTCTATAAGTCAGATCTGTCTTCTTAGTAAGTTATTTCAAGTACATAATTTGGTGTTTGTTAGTGCAGCCACTACTCTGTACATCAGATCTGAGGCACTCACTCATGCTGCATAACTGAGACTTTGTACCCTTTGACCAACATCTCATTTCCCTCCCTGCCCCCAGCCCCTAGTACTACAGGACTACTCTGTGTCTCTGAGCATTTGAACTGTTTTAGTTTCCAAATGTAAGTGAGATCATGAAGCATTTATCCTTCTGGTGTCTGGTTTATTTCATTTATCATAACACCCTTCAGATTCCTTTATAATGATGTTGCCTTGTGAATTCAACCTTTCATGTGGCTGAAAGTGAATTATTAGTAGATTCCTCCTTCATCCTGGGAGACAGTGACTCTGGGCTCTGGATGTGGGGTGGGGAGCTTACCTCAAGTGCAAATTTGAGCATGACTGTATCCTCGTGAATCCTTTGTGCTCTTCTTGGTCTTGGGACCTCATTTTTTTTCGCTCCCTTTTCCCTTCTAGTCTTCTAAGGTCTGTGCGTTAAGTTCTCTGCCCACACTACCTAACTAGCCAGGTTTAATATCCTCTCATAATTTAATTAATTCTAGAGATATTAATGAGAAGTACTATCTCTACGTTTCTTTTTATTTCAGCAGGGGAATTTCTAGAACTACAAAGCTTTGACAGAGTAGTTCTCAGAAATGGCTGCACATTAAAATCACTTGGACAGTTTTAATAAAGTGCTGGGTTCTGAGGTCCTTACCTCCATTTATTTTAATTAATTTGGTCCTAAGAAAGCTGGGAATATGTGTGGATAGTGGCTTCATGAAAGCTCTCTAGGTGATTCTGAAGCATCACTGTTTTTGAAAATGCCTGCATAAATATAAAACATGACATCCTAAACATTTCCAGCATCCATCACTTCCTACATTTAAACAATGTAACTGTTTCTCTCTTGCACCCTTGTGTGGGGCCCAGAGAGGTCTGGGAAGACATTGAATAACCGTCAGTTGAGTGGGTGGCCAAAGAAATCTCCTGGGATTGAGTATATTCAGTGAATCTAGTCCTTTGTTTTTTGTTTTAAGATAGTTTCATCTAAATCTCACTAAGTAAAGATTAAATCCAAAGTTGCAAGCTGATAAACCACATGTGGGATTTATTTCAGAATGTTGACTTTAAAAACAAATGCAAAACTGAGACAGTCTATGTGAAATCCAGATTTCTGTCATTTCTTTAACCCCACAGAACTGGTCCCCTGCCTTGCATTTCGGGTGGCTCCTCCTGGTAAAATCGTGTGTTGGCTGTTCATTCAACGGATATGCAGTCGCCTTGTGCTATGGGGTCTGCTTGGCCTGCTGCCTTCATTTAAGTCACTTGTCTTGCCTTTCAGGTGTTTGCATTGTCACTGATCTGAAATAATGAGAGCTACTAGGAAATACACTAGGGCTCTTAGTTTCTTTCTAATTCTGGTGAGACCTCTGTGTAGTTGGTCACAGTATTCTTTATTCCACAGACCTGAAGGACTTGGAATTTAAAATGTTTTCCTAAAGCTCTGACAAGTTGCTAAATATCTAATGTGAGACTCCACCTCAAAAGGATCTGTTTTTGTGTTTCATTCTTTCTATCTAAAGTCAGTCTTGCTCTTCCCTTCTCCAGCAGACATAAGATACTGAGAGAATACTTTTAGAGGCCTGACTGTTAGGCCAAAGACCCCAGCTTAGGTGTTTCTGTCCAGGTATCTCACATAACCTAGGTTTCCAGGACATCGTCATAAACCTCAGGACTGTTTCTATGGAAATGGGCCTGGGGAAGCCCCAGATTCACTGAGAAGTTACAACTACCTTGGTTGCACCTAACAGGTGCTTTCCTGCCCTCACCAAAGAGAGATGTTTCCTAATTATGAACTGTGTTTCTGGTAAGAACACACTAAGCACTTTCTTTAATGGAATACACACTCCATTAAAGGCATCTGTTACTACAAGACATTTCTATATGTAGTTTTAATTTTATCCATGTGACAACTCACTTGGTCTCCATTATTTTATAGATGGAACAGTCTGTGGAAGGCTGAGAAAATTGCCCAAAGCCATACGCTTACAGACTGTGTCTTCAAGCAGATGTCTATCAGGGATCAGTTAGTAGTAATTGACCATCATCATAAAATGTGTTTAATATAAATTTATCATTATCTTTAAAGTTTTGAAAATAGTAATTTTGTTATTGAATTTTGGTAAATTCGACAAAAAAATCAAAGAAGAAAACAATAACTCCATTTCCTAGAGATGATGGGGTATCATTTCAGAATATTTTTATTTTGCTTGTATGTGCATTTGTTTATGCATAATTCATGTTTCAAAAATAATGAGTATCATAAAATTAACTAACATTGTCAGTATCGTACTGAGCTCACTTAAATAAGGAAATTTAGGGAATCATAAAATAAATTAACCAAATGTTTACTAAATATTTATGATGCTGGGCACTGAAGTTTCAGAGATTATAAACAACTCCAAGACAATACCCTGTGTCTTTGTCTGTGGGTCTGAGTACATGTATGTGTACATATGTGTGTGTTTATGCATGTATGGGAGATAGATAAGCAAATCCACAATGCATCATTGTAAGTGTCTAGATCTTGGGAATTTTGGAAGCCATAGAGACACTGTTCACTTGGTCAAGGGAAAGAGGGAAGTCATTGAGTTACATACCTGGGGAAGGTAGCATCTGAGTTGCATATTTGCTGCATGAGTGAATGACACCTAGGTGAACAAGCAGGAGAGGACATCTAGGGTAATTGACAGCATGTATAAGCCACCAAGGTACAAGATAATTATTTCTTGAGTGCAGTACTCTGACCTCCATTTTGTACAGGAAAAATCACAGAGTGGATGGATTTTCCCTTCACATCAATAGAAGTCATAAGGTATGAACCTATCAGCATAATGACTTTCTCTCTTACCTGTCCCACCAAGTCACTTAGAATTCTCAGTTTGCTTTTCTGGGGGACTTACAGAGCCTTTGCTGTATCCAGTGGGAAATATATTTTTACTCATGGCAGAAAATCTGTTTAATCATTTGTGCATAATAGACCATATGCTGGCACAGGGCTGTAAGGTGACATGATAAAGGCAGAGAAAATCACTTGCCACAGGTTCAGGTGACAAGTATATCAGGCAGGTCTTCGCCTGGGGGAAGAATATAGATTCAAGAGTGCTCAGGTAGGTTGAAATCCTCCCTCATCCTGAGAGCCATGGCAGTTATTACAGGTTGCATAGGGCAGGCACACTTCTTGCTTAATGAAACATTGAAAAGGGCAAAGTCGCTGCCCTAGTTTCCTCTAAAGATGAATAGAGAAAGAATGAAAGTTATCTTTACCCAACCAGATCAGTTAAAAAAATCATGAAGCCATAAAAAACCTCTTTGATACTTGGAAATTTCATGTGTTGGCCCAGACAGTAATACTTTTCTCCTCTTTTGCTCCTGCTTCATTGCACGCTAAACCTAGAAGGCTTCTAGTTAAAAATGCATGTGAAAAAAAAGCAATTAATGATTGTGGTAGCTCACTTTGAAGGGCAGCTTCCTGTGTGCTTTTGCATATGCATTATTTCATTTTCCCAGCAACTCTTCAGTGGGCAGAGGGCCACAGCTGAGAAGGCTTGGGGAGGGGGAGGGACACGCACAAGGACACTACCAATTAAGAGCATAGCAGGGATTCAAACACAGCTCTGTTGGACTTTGGATTCTCAATACTTCTGTTCCTACCACTTCGCCTGTTAAGCTGTGTGAATTAGGGTGCAATTGTTAATTTCATTAATGTCAACATCCTTTACTGGAAAGAAAGGAAAATTGCATATTGAAAAGTACTGGAAGTCTGTCCTACAAGGACAGCCTCTGAGCCTCAGTCTCCAAACTTCTTTACCTACGCTAGCTTCCGTGGTGCTCTGAATTCACTAGTTGTGTACTCTGATTCCTCCAATTCACTTTCCACTGAGAGGTCTTTTGCCTTGAATGCCAAACTTGTGTACTTGTTTATATGCTTTATGTTTCTACTTCAAATTTAATATACTCAAAACTGGCCATGTGATCTTCACCTGTAAACTGTTTTCTCTTGGTACCTATCTTAGTAAATAGCACCACTTCATCTAAGAGTCACTAAGGCCAACTAAAGCAGAGTCTTGTCGACTTTTTTCTGTCCTATCTGGAACACAGAGTCAGATTTATTCAGGAATCATATACAGAATCCAAGCATCTTTCAGCCTCTCAACTATTTCTCTTATGCCATCACTATTACATCCTATCTGCATTGGGAGATGGATCCCGATGAATGTCCTGCTTTCGTCCTTTGTCCTTCTAGTCTAATCTCTGCTCACTTACCAGAGGGGTTTTTCTAGGATGCAGGGGGAATCATGTGTTCTCCGTGTTCAAAGCCCTCCAATTGCTTCCTATCTATGTGATATTCATGGTCTTACTATGAGCAGACAACATCTGTTCTCTTCTAGCACCCTTCTCCCCTCTGTTCCAGCCTTCTTTTCTCAGCTGACACTACTCTGGCCATCTTGCTGTTCCTTCACACACATGGCACCCCTTGAAATCCAACATACAATTTATTTCTTATTTATTCCTCCTACCACTCAGTAATAGAAGCTCCATGAGACCAACAATATCCGTTACTTTTTTTTCCTGCTGTACCTCCACCTTGAACGATAGCACATGTCATAGGATAGACATTCAGTAAATACCATCTTGACAATGACATTATAAAAGCAGGAGGGTTCAGACCTCCTGCAGAAAAGTGGGCTATCAGCTTGCTTTACGTTTAGTACAAAATACTTCCTTAAACCTTGGAGCTACACCTCTCAGCCAAACAGAGCAGTAAAGCAAGTCT